CCAGACCCCGACACCCCCTCGATCCTTCTCCTCCTCCTCCTCCTCCTCCTCCTCCTCCAACGCCTCCTCCTCCTCCTCCTCCTCCTCCTCCTCCTCCTCCTCTTCCTCCTCCACCTTCACCTCCTGCTCCTCCACCCCCTCCTCCTCATCCTCCTCATCCTCCTCCTTCTCCCTCCTCCTCCCATCCTCATCCTCTGCTTCTCCTCCTCCTCCACCTCCTCCTCTCCTCCTCCTCCTCCTCCTCCTCCTCCTCCTCCTCCACCTTCACCTCCTGCTCCTCAACCCTCTCCTCCTCCTCCTCCTCCTCCTCCTCCTCCTCCTCCTCTCCTCCTCCTGCTCCCTCATCATCTGCCTCCTCCTCCTCCTCCTCCTCCTCCTCCTCCTCCTCCTCCTCCTCCTCCTCCTCCTCCCTCCTCCCTCCTCCTCCTCCTCCTCCTCCTCCTCTCCTCCTCCTCCTCCTGTTCCTCCTTCTATTCCTCCTCCGCCTCCTCCTCCTTCTCCTCCTGCCCCCTTCTCCTCACCCTCCTCCTCAATTTCCGTCTCCTCCTCCGTTCCCTCCTCCTCCTCCTCCTCCTCCTCATCCGCTTCCTCATTTCCTGGGGGGGTGAAACTGTACTGATGACGCTACGCCCTAGACCTCTCATCGAGCGCGTTCTGACCAAAACAGTGGCCAGGTAATCCAGCCGTGGCAGAGAGGGATATGTGGAGGCATCCCAGGTGGAGTCCGAGTAGATGTGGTCGGAGGACCGTGACGCATCCCCACAGCATCGCTGATGGATGTCCGATGAATCGGCGATGCATAGGCGCTGTCGGCGTGGAGAAACTCGAGCCCAACATCGAGCCCAATCGTCGATGCATCGGTGATACGGCGCGATTTTCCGAGCCCATCTGCTCGGGCCCAATGTGGGGAGCCTGGATTCTGGAGGACGAGTCGCGGCATCGGGTATACTTTTCTTCCCTGACAGCCCCCCCTCGCTCCTCCTCCTCCTCCTCCTCCTCCTCCTCCTCCTCCTCCTCCTCCCTCGCTCCTCCTCCTCCTCGCTCCTCCTCCTCCCCCTCCTCCTCCTCCTCCTCCTACCCCTCCTCCTCCTCCTCTTCCTCCTCCTCCTCCTGAGGCGCTGAGGCACTGATGGCAATGAAGCCTCCAGACGTAGCCCGCCCAGGCCCAGACCCACGCCCAAGCCCACGCCCACGCCCACGCCCGCGCCCGCGCCCGCGCCCGCGCCTGCGCCCGCGCCCCGACGACCACGCCACGCCCACGCCCACACCCACACCCTCAATCACACCCGCCAACCTCCCCGTCTGGTCGGCCCTGGGGGGGCTGATCAAACTAGCAATCCAGGTGACGCCAGGGGCGATCGCCCCTGGAGTCGCCTGCTGGTGGGATAAGCTGTGGACGGTAAGGCAAGGTAGACGACAGCAGATCGGGGACGACCTCCTCCTCCTCCTCCTCCTCCTCCTCCTCCTCCTCCTCCATTCCTTGTCCTTGCAAATGACCCCTCCCCGCCACGCCCCGAAACCGCTCGAAAGGGCGGGCCCGGCGTTTCGCCTGAGACGTCCTTACCATCCGTGGCCATGAAACTTAAAACAAACAATGGCCGCACCTTCGCATATGGAGGCGGGTGGTTTTCCAAATGTGGCTCTCGCCGTAGCGCCGCGGACATTCGTTTTTTTCATTGCGGAGGTTTCATGGGTTGAGGGCGGGACGTTTTCAAACTGTGGCTCTCGCCTGAGCGCCGCGCACACTCGTCTTCGAAAGTTGTAAGAGCTCTACGGATGGAGGGCGAGTGGTTTTCAAAATGGGCCCCTCGCCTAATCGCCGCGCGCACTCGTCTTCGACAGTTGTAAGAGCTGTACGGATGGAGGGCGGGTGGTTTTCGAAATGGGGCTGTCGCCTTAGCGCCGCGCTCTTTCGTCGTCAAACGTTGTGAGAGCTTGATGGATGGAGGGCGTGTGGTTTCCAGAATGTGGCAGTCGCCGTAGCGCCGCGATAACTCGCGTTTAAGAGCTTCACGGATGGAGGGCGGGTCGTGTTCAAAATGTGGTTATCGCCTAAGCGCCGCGCACAATCTTTTGCAACATTGCAAGGCCTTCGCGGGTTGAGGGCGGCTCGTTTTCAAAATGTGGCTCTCGTTTGAGCGCTGCGCACATTCGTGTTAAATATATTCAAAAAGTTCACGGATTCCCATGGTCAACGTACCAAGAATGATGTTTTGGAGCTGTTCAGGATTGGCAGGGCGCAACAGTTACGTTGATTCGCGGTGTTGCAGTCCCAGGAATGGTCTTGTGCCACGATTCAGGACCGTCAAGACGCAACACTCACGTTCATTCGTGGCGTTGGAGTCCCGATCCTGGTGTGCTTTTTTTTTCGCACGCTTCAGAATCTTCAAACGGTTGTCTCCTCATGGGACACTTCCCTCAGTGGAAACGGATCCATCTAAGGGCATATGAAAACGGAGCTTGAAGGGAGGGTGAATCCCAACATCGTTGATGGGTCTGGGGTTTGTACTGGTCCTCCTCCTCCTCCTCCTCCTCCTCCTCCTCTTCCTCCTCCTCATCATCCTCCTCCTCGTCTTCGCCTTCTGGCCGCTCCGCGAAGAGCCCCGAGACCTCCTCGCTGCCCTCCGAACCGCCGCAAAAGTCGCTCAGCTCCGCCCGCAGCACGTCCTCGGTGAGCACGCGGAGCAACAGCCGGTCGCCGATGGCCATCTGGTACTGCTCCCTGCCCGGCCCGTCGTGGCCGAGGAGCTCCCCCTCCCCCGTCCTCCCCCTCCTCCTCCTTTTCCTCCTCCTTTGCCTCCTCCTTTTCCTCCTCCTCCTCCTTTTCCCCCTCCTCCTCCTCCTCCTCCTCCTCCTCCTCCTCCTCCTGCTCCTCCTCCTCCTCCTCCTCCTCCTCCTCCTCCTCCTCCTCCCCCATTCCTTTCCCTTATGGATAACTCCTCCCTATCGTAGCCCGGGCCGGCTGAAAGGGCGGGCAGTGCGTTTCGCTTGAGACTTACTCACCATTCATGATGATGAAGTTCTGAAACTGAGAATGTAACAGGGCTATAGATGGAAGGCGGGTCGATTTCGAAATGTGTCTCTCGAATTAGCCCCGCGCACATCCGTTGAACAATGAAAGAGCTTCACGGATGGAGGGCGGGTCGTTTTCATCATGCGTCTCTCGACTAACGTCGGGAAGGACAAATTAGCATTATGAAGATCCAACCTGTGCTATCCGCGCGAATCCTCTTGCAATTGACCGGCGACTTTTCGTTCGGACGAAACCGCCGATAACGGGCCACGTTTGAAATCGCAACTAGAAGATTGACGTGCCAAATGCGCGCACGGTTTGGGAGCATCGATTATTTGTCGAGACGCCTGGGCTTTTCTGGCGCGCTGCTGCAGTGAAAGATGTAACACCGCGCCAGAAAAAAAACACAGACGCCTCGACTAATCAGCGATGCTCCCCAACCGTACGCGCATCTGACACGTCAAACTCCAAGGTGCAACCTCAGTAAGTGGCCCGTGATCGGCGTTGTGGTCCGAACAGATGAGGAGCCGGGGGAGAGGCGAACGCGCGGGGAGAGGGGGGGGGGGCAGGGAACAGCTCTGAGATCCGACGTAGCGACAAAAATACAACCTCGTAAAAATCCGCGCCCGGAGCCCCGGACCCCATATTTCTGCGGCATTCTTCGAGCTGGATCGATCTGTGAGGGTCCCGGGACCCGACAACAGGCGAAAACGCCCGGCTCGGAAAAATGGAGTCGCCATGGATCTCAGGGGAGGCGAACGCGGGGAGAGAGGGAGGGCAGGGGAGGGGGGGCAGGGGGAGGGGGGGGGGGGGGGGGCAGGGGAGGGGAGGGGGGGGGGGGGGCGGCAGGGAACGGCCCCGAGCACGCCCCGATGCCGGGGGCAGGAGGGGCCCCCCAGGGCCCCCCCGGTCCGGCAGGCGAGGCGGGCCTCCACGCACTGCCGCCCGCGGGCCCCCTCCTCGGGCGCCCCCGCGAGGGCACGCACCATCGGGGGCAGGGGCCGCGGCCTGCTGGCACCCAGGGGGCCCCAGAGAGCCAACGCATCGAAAACATCAGGACGGAAGGTTTCTCGCTATGTCCGGCCCCTGGGGGCCCTCACCGGGCCTCGGGACCCGTCCAAAAACGACTCCAGATGAAAAACCGGTCCTGGAGAATGGGTCGTGATTTCCGGGGACCCCGCATTTAAAAAATTACGACATCGGGTCTCCGGGGGCGACGCAGGAAGTCAGCTTCACGCAGCCTCCCCGCCCCAAGCCCCAGGATGGCCAATCTCCCGGACGGGCAGGGCACGGGGGGGGGCGGGGGCACGCAAGCATGGATTAGCGATCCACGGATGTGGCGCGCGGTCGCCAAATCCATGGATCGGGGGACGGGCCCTCCTCAAAATGCGGTCGGTGCCACCTCGTTCGGCGGCGGAAATCCGCGATTCCGCATAGAAATGGGTCCCGTCGCTAATCCACGCCCAGGGGACCGCCCAGGGCAGATAGCACATCCCGACGGAGGGGTCCTCAGCCAGACGTCGTCGTCGTCGACGTCGTGGTCGCCGACGTCGTCGTCAGTGCAGAGAGTAGACAGCACGCCCAGCCACAGGAAGCGGGCAGCGGGGGGGCACGAAGAAAGCACGTCCCGCTATCGCTCTTACTGGTTCTCATCCACCTCCCTTGACTCCACCTTACCCTCCATCGTTGTCGTGACCGCCTGCGCGTCAGGTTGTGCTACACACACATATATATATATACATATACATATATTATGTATATATACATACACACGCAAGACTGCATTGGCGCTTCGCGCCATGCGCATTGTTTCAGACGCTTCTCGGAAAAGCAATAAGTCATCGCGTGTTTCAGCAGGGAGGGGGCGTCGAGGTCTGGACGGGCGACTGGCTCATTTTTCTGCCATCCCTGGACCTTGCTAACACTGCGTTCGCCCGATGGGCTTGCACGCCTGCGCGCAGAAGTGGGGGGGGGGCAGGGTGATCTTTTCACGCGCGAATGTGCTGGCACACGACGAAGCATCAAACGGATGCGAGGGCACCTGTCAGGTGTTGACTGGAGAGGACACGCGAGAGCACTCCAGACCCCTCCGAGGCCACACTGCCACAGGAAGGTAAGGAGGCACGGGTCGCGAAACTCAGGACACGAGGCTACCCTGGATTTGGCAGGGTCGACCTACTAATCAGTCTCGACTGCAAGTGGACAGGAGGTCAGATCAGTGGGTGCTGAGGTGGCTCATATCTGGCCCAGCCTATCTTGTGAGAGGGTCACACGCGCCCTGGTTGGCACGTGCAGGCTCGATGCCTCCGCTAAGTGGGATGAGCTCACTTGGCCCGCATCTACCCACCCCCAACCAATTGGGGCACTGCTGACCCTCGTTCAAGCTATAGTAGGCCAGATCACCCGCCTCCGCATCGACTTATAAACCCCTATCCTCCAAGCAACCACAGCGGTGATCCAAGTGGAGCCCGAAGAGGGCCCAAAGGCCTGAGAACAACGACAAACCGTCTTGAACTGTTTCTCTCAGGACCTCTCTCCGTCATCGCGACCGCTGCCACAGATGGGCTGCGCACGAAAAATTGACGGCGGCTGGCAGAAGGCCTTCGTTGGGGCCCTCGCCAGCGCACCGGAGCGGCGGCCCACGCTTGCGCACTCAGTAGGTGTAGCCCTTGACGTACATGCCCTCAGCAGCGGTGGCGTCCTCGTCGGCCGTGGCAGCGTCGTACTCGCCCTTCTGGGCCTTGGAGTTGGCCCCCGCGCGCTGGAACAGCTTGGACTGCGCTGCCACGATGTTCTCGTCCTTGCCTGCCCAAGTCTTCAAAGTGGTGTTCTGGAGCGCGCGGGCGTACGAGAAGGAGACGTGCCACGGGTTCGAGCCCTGGTTCATCGCATTGAGGTTCTCCGTCGCCTGGATCTCAGACTGGCCGCCCGAGAGGAAGAAGATGCCGGGCACAGCCGGCGGCACCACACGCTTCAGCGCGCCGAGGGTGTACTCTGCCACGGTCTTCGGGTCCGCCGTCTTGCCAGACTGCGCACCATGAGTCACCATGGACGGCTTCAGGTAGACCGCCTCCAGGCACACGCCGAAGTCGGCGCATGCCTTGAAGACGGCCGCCCAGGTCTCCTCGAACGTCTCCAAGCACTCGTCGATGTCGTGCTCGCCGTCGAGGAGGATCTCGGGCTCGATGATGGGCACCAGGCCTGAGGACTGGCAGATGCTGGCGTAGCGCGCGAGGCCATGGGCGGCTTCCGCCACCGCGATCGAGGAGTGGTCGCGCACGCGCACTGTGGTGCGCCACTTCGCGAAGCGCGCGCCCGCCTTGTAGTAGTCGACGGTGCGTTCCTTGAGGTCGTCCAGGCCGCGGCACCAGTTCTCGCCCTCCTTGCCGCCTGTGAGGGGCACCAGGCCCGTGTCCACCTTGATGCCTGGAATCACGCCGTTCTCCTTCGCGAGGTCCACCATCTTCTTGCCGTCCGTCGTGTCCTGGTAGAGGGTCTCCGTGAACAGAATGGCACCGCCGCAGAAGTCGCCGAGGCCCTTGGTGCCGAGCAGAGTCTGGCGCCAACGCTGGCGGTTCAGCTCGGTGTTCTCCACGCCGATCGACTCCAAACGCAAGCCGCAGGTCCCGTTCGACTCGTCCATCGCGAGGATGCCCTTGCCAGGTGCGGTCATGGCCTTCACGGTCGCCAAGAGCTCGTCCTCGGAATGCCAGTTGAACCAGCGGTGGCTCTCCCTCCCAAGCACAATTCGCTCGAAACGCGTCCTCGGACCCCTCCAGGGGCCCATCCTGACCCCTTTGCCGAGGCGGATCCAGCCGTGGCGACGAGAAGACTCGGAGAGGCCCAGGATGCATCCTGCATCCTGAGCCAGAGTGTCCCAACCCTCCTGTGTTGGGTGCTCGTGTTGTATAAAGCAGGGTGGTCTGCACATTCTCCGCCTCCTCCTCCTCTTCCTCATCCTCATACTCCGCCTCTTCCTCCTCCTCTTCCTCGCACGTCGCCGCATGCGAGGAAGAGGAGGAAGAAGCGGAGGAGGAGGAGGAGGAGGAGGAGGAGGAGGAGGAGGCGGAGCTTGGTCGGCTGCGAACTGCGCAAGTAACGCCACTGTTGTACGCGCATCCAGCCGAGATCTCGCTGCTCCCTGGGTGACCGCGACCCGCGCAACTGGCAAAACTTCCGTGGGCCTCCTGGGAAGCACTGCGGAGACGGGGAATACGCGGATCCAGGCGGGACCTCGCTGCTCCGCGGGCGGCTGCGAACTGCGCAGCTGAGGCCACTTCCATGGGCTCCTGGGAGGCACGGCGGAGTCGGGGAGTCCGCGCATTCAAACGGGACCAGCGCTGCTCCGTTGGAGGCTGAGAACTGCGCAACTGGCGCAGTGCTTGTACTCCTGGGAGACACCGCGGAAGAGGGGAGTACGCGAATCCAGACGGGACCTCGCAGCTCCCTGGGTGACTGCGAACTACGCAACTGGCGCCATGTTCGTGGGCTCTTCTGGGAGGTCCAACGGAATCGGGAAGTACGTGCATCAAGACGGGACTTCGCCGCCCCATGGGGGTGGCTACGAACTGCGCAACTGGCACCACGTTCGTGGGCTCCTGGGGGGCACGGCGGAGTCCGCCGGCCCCCTGGTGGGGCCACCAGGCTTTAGGCCGAAGGTTCGCCGTTTCCTGTACCAGTTGCAGCTTCCAGTTTCCACTGTTACAGTTCTGCTTCTTGCTGCATAATTGCTGTTCCTTGTTGATGGACCGCGCGAGGGGGGGGGGCCCAAACGGGCAGGTTAAGCACGCCCTGAGCGTGTGCTCTGAATTGCTGGGGTGGATGAACACCCTCACGCAGATCGGCGGGGTCAGGGTCCAAAAACACATGGGATTTGCCACATTTCCATTTCTGAAATTTGATAGCACCCCTCACGCAGATCGGGGCGGTCAGGGTCCCAAAACACATGGGATTTGCCACACTTCTGAAATTCAGTGGCACCCCTCACGCAGATCGGCGGGGTCAGGGTCCAAGAACACATGGGATTTGCCACATTTCTAGAAATCCGATGGCACCCCTCACGCAGATCGGCGGGGTCAGGATCCGAAAACACATGTGATCTGCCACATGTATGAAATTCATTGGCACCCCTCACGCAGATCGGCGGGGTCAGGGTCCAAAAACCTAGAGGAGTTGCCATATTTCTGAAATTCGGTGGCACCCCTCACGCAGATCGGCGGGGTCAGGGTCCAAGAACAAATGAGATTTGTTACATTTCTAGACATCCGATGGCACCCCTCACGCAGATCGGCGGGGTCAGGATCCGAAAACCCAGGAGATTCTCAACATTTCTGAAATTCGATGGCATCCTCACGCGGATCGACAGGGTCAGGGTCCAAAAACACAAGGGATTTGCCACATGTTTGAAATTCGGCGGCACCCCTCACGCAGATCCGTAGGATCAGGGTTCAACAACATACGGGATTTGCTACATTTCTGAAATTCGATGGCACCCCTCACGCAGATCCGTAGGGTCAGGGTCGAAAAACAAACAGGTCCCGACACTGCTTCACGGCGGCGCCCAGACCTCATGATTTAGCTGTTGCATCTCCCATTATCCAGGACAGGGGGCCGGCGGGATGGGGCGAAGCCCTTACGGATAAAGGAGTACGCAAATCCAGACGGGACCTCGCAGCTCCCTGGGTGACTGGGAACTGCGCAACTGGCGCCATGTACGTGGGCTTCTGGGAGGTCCAACGGAATCGGGAAGTACGTGCATCAAGACGGGACTTCGCCGCCCCATGGGGGTGGCTGCGAACTGCGCAATCCAGCACCACGTTCGTGGACTCCTGCGAGGCACGGCGAAGCCGGCGAATACGCGGATCCAGGCGGGACCTCGTTTCCCTGGGCGGCTGCGAACTGTGCAACTGGCGCCACTTTCGCGGGCTCCTGGGAGGCACGGCGGAGTGGGGGAGTACGCGGGACCTCGCTGCTCCCTGGGTGGTTGCGAAGTGCGCAACTGGCACCACGTTTGTAGACTTCTGGGGGGCACGGCGGAGAAGGGGAGTACGCGGATCCAGGCGGGACCTCGAAGCTCCCTGGGGGACTGCGAAGCGGCCACCTACGTGGGCTCCTGGAGGGCACGGCGGAGTCGGGGATGCCGGGATGACGTGGATCCAGGTGGGACCTCGCAACACCCTGGGGGACTGCGCAGCGCAACTGGGGCCACTTTCGTGGGCTCCTGGGGGTTCCTGCGGAGTCAGGAAGTGCGCGGATCCAGGCGAATCCTCGCTCCCTGGGTGGCTGCGATCTGCGCAGATGGCGCCACGTTCGCTGGCGCCTGGGAGGCACGCCCTGGGTGACGGCGAACTGCGCAACTGGGGCCACTTCCGTGGGCTCCAGGAGGTACGGCGGAGTGAATAAGTACGCGGGACCTCGCTGCTCCGTGGGCGGCTGCGAACTGCACAACTGGCGCCACGGCGCCACTGTCGTGTGCTCCTGGGAAGCACGGCGGAATAAGGGAGTACGCGCATTCAAACGGGACCTCGCTGCTCCCTGGGTGGTTGCGAAGTGCGCGCGCAACTGGCACCACTTCCGTGGGCTCCTAGGAGGCACGGCGGCGAAGGGGAGTGCGCGCACCCAGAAGGGACCTCGCTGATCCCTGGGAGTCTGCGGATTGCGCAAATGGCGCCATTTTCGTGGGCTCCTGAGAGGCACGGCGGAGTCGGGGAGTACACGGATCCAGACGAGACCTCGCAGCTCCCCGGGTGGCTGCGAACTGCGCAACTGGCGCCATGTCGTGGGCTTCTGGGAGGCACGGCGGAGTAGGGGAGTACGCGGGACCTAGCAGCTCCGTGTGCGGCTGCGAACTTTGCAACTGGCGCCACTTTCGCGGGCTCCTTGGAGTTCCTTCGAAGTCGGGGAGTACGCGGATCCAGGTGGGACCTCGCAGCTCCCTGGGGGACTTCGAACTGCGCAACTGGCACCACTTTCGTGGGCTCCTGGGAGGCACGGCGGAGTTGGGGGCCACGCGCACCCAGGCGGGACTAGGCTGCTCCATGGGTGGCTGTGAGCTGCGCAACTGGCGCCACGTTCGAGGGCTCCTCCAAGGTTCAGCGGAGTCGGGGGCCGCGCGCACATAGACGAGACCTCGCTGCTCCCTGGGAGGCTGCGAACTGTTCAGCTGTCGCCACTTTGGTGAGAAACTAAAGGGTCCAGCGGAGTCGGGGGCCACGCGCACCCAGACAGGACCTCGCTGCTCCCTGGGTGTCTGCGAGTTTCGCAAATGTCGCCACTTTCGTAGGCTCCTGGGAGGCACAGCGGAGATGAGGGCAGCGCAGATCGTGCATATCTGGCGATGTGTTCTCTTGCATGGACCGTTCCTGCAAAGATTCGCCTCGCAGGGAGACGGGTTTGGGTACGTCTCGGGAAATTCCATTCTTCGCGACAACGCCCGTGACACCCCCTCCCCCCACACTGGTGCGGGCATCTACTGACCCGGGTCAATACTAACCCGGGTCAATCAGGCTCTGCATGATCCTGCAAGATCCTGCAGAATCCTGCGCTAAGCGCGGGTCAATGCAGCCCTGGCTCCGCAGGATCCTTCAAGATCCGGGCCCTGGCTGATCCCCATTTGCATTGACCCCCGTCTCAAGGTTTCCCGACGGATCCTGTGACGATTCGCGCCGGCGTCGTCTGAGAATGAGCCGCTCCTAAGCATTCCCAGACGGCGCGAAGCACGAAGAGCGACGTGACCAGCCCCCTCCCCCCCCCTTCACGCCCGTTACCTTGAGATCCGACGTTGCGAACACAATCGCAACATCGCGAAAAATCACGACTGATTTTTCAAGCTGGATCGATCTGTGTCCTAGCGCCCAGAACTGGGGGAAAACGCCCGATGTGACAAAATGCAACGCCAGGACCTCAGGGCATCGCCAGGGGCTAACAAAATGCTCCCGAGGTTGCAGGAAGCGCTGAGGAGGACTCCAGAAGGCCGAGACAACAAGAACAGACGCCAAGGAGCACCGCCGCTGGCCCGACTGGCCCTCCTCCAACGGTCCTTGTACTCGGCGCAATGCGACCAGGGATCCGAGGACGTGCCGACCTTCATGGACACAACGCGCTTGCCCTTCCTGAGGGGGCGACGTTAGAACGTTAGTAGAGAAGCAAAGAATAGCATAAATATAAACTTTTGGAAACCCGCGCGGATTTCCTGGACCGGCGCCGGAGGCGCCGCCAGGGGGCTCAAGCGCCGATCGGAGAGATCCGCACGGACCTTCAAAATCTTGTGCTGATGCACTTGTTCGCTCCCGAGTTAGGGGGGCACCGCCCTACGGGGGGGAACATTGACCTGGAATCGGTCATGCATCTCCGACAGGTCGGCGCTACGCCCTTCTGTAGCGACCCCCCATGTCCCTGTGCGGGTTGGGCTGATCAGGCCCCTGTGGGTTGAGTATGCCTGGGGGGGCCAGGTCTGGAGGATCGGGTCGCAGGGCGCTCGGGGGGCGTGCCACTGATGTTTCAGTCGGCACCGTCTGCTTGGGATGAGCTGGCCGCCACGGGCGATGCGCCGACACCTCCAGAGTTGCACCGACGACCAGAAAAGAAAGCCGCCATGCGCCTGCGCGCAGCTCTATCGAAAGGCAGGGGACCCAGCCCAGGATTAGGTCGGGCATGGCCTCCTGCAGGCGGATTATTATGAAGGAACAGAAACAAACAGCGAATGTTCAAGCAAATCCAAAAGTGCACGAAATATCGTCCCCATGCGATCATTTGACTGGTCTCTGATATTCATTCCTTCTGTAGAGGGACATGCCCGAATTAAGCCCAGGAACATACTCAACCTCTAGGTGATGAAAAGGCGATCGGGGGCCGAGGCCCCCCAACCCCTCCTGAGCTTTTGGTGGCAACTCGTTGGAGCCTCCCAAGCCACCTTGTCGGCTCTTGCGAATTGACGCTCGTCGATGCTAAATCCACGCTAAGTCGACGCTAGCCGAGACGAAATCGGCGGTATCGCATCGACTCCCAGACGCCGATCGACGCCAGTCAACGCTAAAGACAGAATTGCGAGGGTACACAAGGCTGCCATGACTTGCTACCGCATGAGCCCATCCCCGTGCCCAGTGGCTGCCGGGCCACAGCTCGAGCCTCCGACGACGGCCCTTCGGGACGACCCGGGGCAGCACACCCGGGAACGCCCTCGGCGAGGCGCTGCTGCTGGAGAGCACCCCGAGGCGTATGTTGCTCCGATCGTACTTCAGGACCACATTCGGGACATAATGTCGAGCACCCTGAAAAGTATCGAAACACTGCCGAACGATTATCGCCTCCCAGGGCCCGGCACGTGAAGACCCTCTGGTTTCGGTATTTTCCTGGTGCTCGAAATTCTTTCTGGTGGTCAAGGGTAAAGTAAGTTGGAACATCATAACCCGCCGCGAAGCGACGAGAGCGCCCGAGATAACCCCCGAGCCGATCCCGCTCTGAGAAGAGAGCCCAGAACCCGATCGACGAGCCGGAGCTGCGAGAGAGCTGAATCGGATCGGCGGACGTCGGCAGCCCAATCTGACGACGGCGAATCGGCGGAATTCGGCAGGCCAGTGACTGAGGCCTCCACGCAGAGGCCGAAGACCAATCGGAAGCGAAGTCGAATCGCGTCAAGAGCGGAGGCGATCGGAATCGATCGGAGCCCTGCCCTAGCGGTGCTCCCTGACTGGAAGAAGAGAAACGGCATAAACATATACTTTTGGCGCTCCGCGTGGATTTCCTCGATCTGCGCTGGGCCCCCTCCCAAGCACGCGGAGCGCGCCAGGGGCGCCGGAGGCGCCGCCGGGGGGGAACCCAGCGCGGATCCAAGAGATCCGCGCGGAGCGCCAACAATTATAGTTAATGTTTATGCCGTTGTCTTCTTCGAGAGTCGCATCAGAAACGGAATCGATCGGAATCGATCGGAGCCCTGCCCCTTGCGTTAGGTCGGGCATGTCCTCCTATACAGGCGGAGCTTGGAAGAAAAGTCAAGCAGATCCGAACAACATCCCAAAACTAGTCAGAAAATCGTCCCCCGCCTATTTCTCTGCCCATTCCTGAACATTCCTCCTGTCTCAGACCCCCGACGTCATGATTTGTTCAAAGCCCGACCCCCAGAGGTCTGGACCCATTCCCGGGGACCGGCTTCTCATCCTGAGTCGTTCTTTGACGGCCCCGAGGCCCGGTGAGGGCCCCCAGAGGCCGAACATGGCGAAAAACCTTCCGTCACCTTTTCTTCACGACGCGAGGGGGTCTGGGCTGGAGGGACATGCCCGACGCAACCCTGGCGGGGCCCGCGGACGCGTCCTCGCCCTGCGGGCGCCCGCGCGCGCCACGGCGGCCGTGCCGACCGCCGCCGCCGCGAGTCCGCAGGCCGCCGAGGCCGCGGGCGAGGCGGCCGCGCGGGGCTCCCGGGCCGCGCCGCGCAGGGCCGCCGCCGGGAGCGCCGCCGGGGGCGCCGCCGGGGCGGCGAAGCTCGGCGACTCCGAGGGGCGCGGTGGGCGCGGGGCGCGGTCTGCCCTGACCTTCCAGGAGGGCTGAAAGATGGCACCGGGACCTCGACATCCGAATTCCTGTCGAGGCTTGAGGCGGCCCAGAGAGGTCTATAGGTCTACAGGTCTCGAGGGCTATTCTTTAGCACTCTGGAAGGTCAGGGTGGTCGACGGCGAGTGCTTTGCGCGCAACCCCGACGGGCGCTGCAGATTTTTCGCGACGGGCGTTGTCGTCGCTCAAAAGGTCGGGCCCCGGGGCCCTCACGGATCGATCGGGCTCAAAAATTGGCACAGAAAGATAGGGTCCGGGGCTCTGGCCGCGATTTTTGGCGATGTCGCATTTTTTTGGCGACGTCGGATCTCAGGGAAGCACCCTTCGATCGCAGTAGCGGCGCGCGCCAGTTGGGGCTGAGGCCCGCCTGGCTGGGCGCGGGCCGGCGCGCCTCCCTGCCCTCCCCCTCCCCCCTCCCCCCCCTCCCCCCTGCGCCTGTGTCGTTGTCGTCCCCGTCGTCGTGTCGTGTAGTTTCCTAACTCTTGCCGCAGGGCTCCGCTTGCGCTTGTGGAACAATTGTGTGGACGGCGGCGGCCGAGGGGGCGGAAGTGAGCAGGAGAAGGCCTTCTCGGGAAGGCGGCGGGGCTTCTCAGAAGCCCCTCGCGCCTTTGGAGAGGTTTTTCCTGCGTCTTCGGGGGAACCTCAGAAGACTTCTCCGAAGGGCAAGGGACTTCCGAACCTGCTGAGAAGGCCCACTCCTTCTCATTTCCCCCCGGGCCCGCCGCCGACTTGCAGCACGCACCCCGGGGGGCGGGCGACCCCGAGCTCCTGGGGGTGTAGTTTTGTTCACGCTGGGCGTTTCCGCTCAGTTTCGGGCCCCAGGGCACTCACACACAGATCGATCCGGCTCGAAAAGAACGGCGCAGAAGCGTGGGGTGCTGGGCTCGGGTCCTGGTCTTTTGCGATTGCTGTCTTTGCTCTGCGACGCAGGATCTCATGGGGAGGGCCTCGACAGAGCTCGCCGCCGCGCCTCGCGGGGAGGCCCGACGAGGGCAGCGCGGCGCTGCCCGAGGCCCACCGGGGGAGGTCGCAAGCCACGCCCTGGCGCGAAGCCACACCCCTCGCCGTCGCCGAGAAGTGCGGGGAGGCGAAGGCGACGCCGCTCATGCTGCCCGGGGGAAGTCTGCGGTCGGGAGCGTCTGCCGGGCGCGCCGTGGCGGACGGCCCCTGCGACACGCCACTCGGTGCTTCCAAAGAGCGTGCGCGTGCTGGCGCCGGCGTGCGCTCGCCCGCCGAAGCCCGTCCACGCAACGCAGGCGGCGTAGCGGAGGACGACGCAGGCCGTGCTACCGACGGGAAGCGCAGGGGGCAACACACACGTCAGCCTCGTTAGCACACGTCCTGAGGATCGGCCGGCGACCGCTTGCAAGCTGATGGCGCGGCTCGGACGAGCTCGGGTCGACGCGGACGCTCGGGGACCGAGACGTGGACAGCGGACCGCGCCGCAGCGCGGTGGGCCAGAGCCGGCCGTGCGCCACGCGCGGGAGGCTCGGACGGGCCCGGGAGGCTGACGCGTGGGGGCGGGGACGCGGATAGCGTGCCGCGCCGACGCACGGTGGGCCGAATCCGGCGGCGCGCCTCGCCAAGCAACCAGTCGGGACCGCAGGCAGACTGTGCCACGGCAGCGGTGCTGCCGAGCGGGCTGGGCAAAGAAAAACCTGCTTGAGCCAAAACGGCTCCGGGCCCGAGCGGTGGAAAGGGAGGGGGGGAGAGAGAGAGAGAGAGAGAGAACAAAAAAAAAAACGTTGCACCTTCGGGGGGGGGAGAGAGAGAGGGAGAGAGAGAGAGAGAGAGACACGGTGCACCTTCGGGGGGCCTCGTGTGTGCCCATCGAGCCGCCGCCTGCGGCGAAGCCGCGCCGCCTCCCTGTCGAACATCGGATACGCGTCGAAGCCACCTCGAGCTCGCGTCGAGCCCACGCCGTGTCCGCGTCGAACCCGCGCCGGATGCAAGAGCAGAGCGGCCACTTGCAGTACGGGCGAGGCGAGGCCCCCCCGAAAACGCAAGGGAAAGCGAGGAGGACGACGAGGGGAAGCAGGATCATGAACCGGGGGCGGCATGGCACCCCAGCGAACACAAACAACAACACACATTCATGACGTTGCTTCAACGCTAGGCGGGATCCCCAGAGAGCACTGGCCCACTTGAGGCCTGGCGGCCGCGGCATGCACACGTCACTCGTCAAAGGCACGAGGCGGGAGCCTGCCGGCCGCGGCATGCAGGGCGCGCGAGGCGGATGTCGCGAGCTCTCCTCCTCGAGCCTCGCAACCCCAACACCTGTCGGGCTGGCAGCATGTACTTTCGGCAAGTGCACGCGGCCCTCCGACGTGAATCTGTTCTCTTCCCCGACCCCCGACGTCGTGACTCTTCCAGGGCGCGACCCCGAGAGGTCCGGACCTGCTCCCCGGGACCTGTTTGTCATCCCGAGTCGTTGACGGCCCCGAAACCCGGTGAGGGCCACCAAAGGCCGAACATGGCGAAACAGCTCCCGTCGTGATTTTTCCGTGGCTCGAGGGGGTCTGTTTTTTACTTTGTTTGGCCCTCCGAAGAAATTATGCCTGTGTTTGTTCCGCTCTTCGGCTCGCGCGATGCGCAAAGGGCGCCGGGTCGATGCGGTGTGGTGGCCGCGGCCGAGCAGCCTGTCCGGGCCTCCGGCGAGGAGGAGTCCAGTGGTCGCAAGATGGGGGGGGCGATGCATGCACCGGGGTGCTGTGTTAGGAGGCGGCTTATGTGGGGTCTTCGCGGGAGCGATTCGCGCTATGTTGCTCCCATCGTACTTAAGGACCGCATCCTCAAGATAATTTCGAGCGCCCAGAAAGGCGTCGAAACAGTGTCGAACGAGTATCGCCTCCCAGGGCCCGACACGTGAGAACCCTGCAGTTTCAGTGCTTTCCTGGTGCCCGAAATTCTTTCTGGTGGTCAAGGCTAAAGTAGGCTGGAACATCATAAGATTAGCGGCCAACAGGTCCGATGGAGGGGCAATCAGAAGCTGGATTGAATGGGATTATGCCGGATTGCGCGGGACTCGGCCCAAGGGATTAATTACCAGTTCAGATGCTGCATTGACCCTTCCAAGAGTCACAACTTAAGTTGTGGAGCCGCCAGGCACTTGGTGAGGAGGGTAGACGCGGGTGGCGCCAGCAAGGCGTGACACGATGCACAACGAGACGCGGCAAGACACAGAGCAGGAAGGATCCCGACGTCGAGAGCAAAAAAGACGGCGCTGGTGATCTGGGTTCTAAGGAGGCTAACGACGCACCCTCAACACTCGGACTGCACACAGCGCACAGAAGTCAAAGAGGAGGAGCGAGTTTGGGAGGAAGGATGACCAGACAACGTGTGCTGTCTGATTCGGATCCTGGAATTTGACACCAACGCCGACACATGGAGGGGGCCTCCACTGGGGGGGGATGAACCTGGATGTTGGTGTTGGTGCGAAATCTCTCGGACACCTAATAAGCCCAGATAATCCCATCATCGAAATCAGGATCATCTTCCAATGGAGGCCAACGCTGATACTAGTGTTGGTAACAACCTCCAGGCTCCTGATCTGATCGCCACCTGGCGAGGTCTCGGATGCTGGCTCACTGGCAGCAACGGACATAGCTCAGAACCAACAACCGCGCGAACCCGGGAAACCCAAACTGACGTTCACGTTGCAGGAGTCATCCAGGCCTCTTCGCAACTGTATGGTGCAATGTTGCCCACGACGGGAATTAATATTATCCCCGCTCCCCAGATTGGAAACGTGCCACACAGAATATCGCGGAGCGTTGGGTGTGGATATATACGTCTCGCTCTCAAGACGGCTCGAGTGCACCAGCCTGGTGTATGCAATTGAACCTTGGGTGTGGAATTTGCCTCTCTTCAATGCCCGCGGCAGCGAGGTCGCATGTCCGTCTTCCCGCCTGTGATCGTGCCGGATAATCTCCATCGTCTTCAGCGCCTCCATCAAATCGTCCGTGCACACCTTGGCAATGACTGTCCGAAAGCTGACACCATTCCGTGCCCAGACATGGAAGGCAAGGCCAGCCTCACTGCTCTGCCCAAGACAGAACAAACACGTCTCCGGGAGGTGCAAGCACGTGGACTTCCAAGACTCGATACCATGACTCAAATCTCAACGTTGATTTTACAAACGTTTCTAAGTGTTCCGGCCTCCTGGGGCCGTTCCCGGGCCCCGGGCCCATCAGAGAACTATCCAGGACGAAAAACTGGCCCCAGGAAAGGGGTCGACAAGTGTAGGCCAACAAAATGAGAGCCGACTCTCTGGAGGTACAGGTACGTACACTCTCGATGCCATCCAAGTGCGCCTTGTGAATTCAAAGCTACTCCTCTTTCATAATCTGTAGCTCGCCAGGTACTTACAGTTTGCACTTCCAACAATACTTTTTACAATTGATATTGTAACGATTCCAATATTGCCCTGGTATTCTGTAGGTGGTGTCGTCGTATGGCGCCTTACTGGTCGCGACTTTGTTCGACCCTGCAATGCTATCCTCTGGGTGGCAGCCTATGGCTGGTGCCGTACGATACCTGAATCATTGCGATGCTCTCGATCTCAACATGGAGCACTATCAGTGGTTCGCCATGGCTGGTGCTCTGTGCTGCCTTGAGGGTGTGAATGTTCTCGGTATTGTCCTGGTGCCGGATGGGTGATGCCATATGGCAGGTGCCACGTGATGCCGCAGCCGTTGCGGTGCTCTTGCTCTTGCCCTCGTGGCCCACACGTGGCGCGCCATAGCTGGTGCCCTGCGATTCCATCACTGTGGTGTGTCTGGGCCCCAGAAAAGCATGCCTCATGCTCCGCCACACGAGTATATATATATATATACACACAGACGCCCTCCAATGGTTTGTTCCTAGGATGGGGAGCGCCAACGGTTTTACACACCAGCCGCCCCCCCACACACACCCTGAATGTACAGGCAAACTTCGTCGGAGGCTGTCTGTGTATACATCTAGATTTATGTATATATATACATGTATATAAATATCCGTGGCGGACATGCGAACGATCAAGCGGAAGCACGCCCATACAGCTGCCCTGACATGCGGCAACGCAGTACTTGTTTCTGTTGCTGCTGACAAGCAGCCTGTTATCCACGGCCGCAAGCATGCTTGGATGGGTTAGGCCGCCGGCAAGCGGAACATCCTCTACGTGGGGACGGATCGCCCCAACTGGAAAACTAACACGGGTGCGTGAGCAGTGGCGGGCCGATCAAAGCGCGACTGACCGGCGGCCAAGATAATCTCAATCGTGGGATATGATCTTTGAATGGGACTATAAATGTAATTTTCGGTGTACGATGGCCTCGCCTCGGGTGGCTCTTCCTAACCAACTAGTGACCTGCCTGTCCAACGAATGGCTCCTACTTCTGGGCGACCAAAACACCCAGGAACTCGACGAGGGCAGCGTTGAGCTTTCTGAACTTGCCCCAGCCCTGCGGCACTCCCCTCTCCCAGGTGGCATCAACCGAACCCTGACCTCACCAACCATCGATGCTCCTGCATCGATGGGCGGGAACAGGGTTCGGATTGCGCTGTTCGACGAATTTCTAACCCTTCCCCTCCAAGAGTTCTTGGAAACGACAAGGCCGTTTTCCTGCTTCTGTGTTGCAGCTTGTTTCCCGGTTCTGGCGCCATGCTTCGTCCGGTTCCGCCGCAATCTCTTGTCCGGCTCAGGCTCTGGCTTCAACACCCACCCTGGCGCCCTTCTTCTACCGCTTCGGCGCACCGTTTTTTTCATACGTATCAAGGCCATGGTTGTTGGAAACTGTAGAAATTCGGCCCTGCAGCTCCCGGGAACCACTAAGCTTAGGTCGGGCGTGTCCCCCTACAGGCGAATTTTGGACGAAAAATTTAAAATAGTCAAAAAACTATTCCGAAATGCTCAGACGAGTTTCTTTTCACTATTTTTGACCATTCCTCCTCTAGAGGGACAGGCCCGACTTAACACTAAGCCCTGCCCCCGCCGCCCATCCAGCTGCCTGCATCGTTGCTCGGCGAGGGCAGGGTTCGTCATACACAGTGCTTCCAAGCGACTCCATGCTTCCCTGGATCGTGATGGTCCTTCCTACCCTCCTCCTCCAACTCCTCCTCCTCTTCCTCCTCCTCCTCCACCTGCTCCTTCTCCTCCTCCTCCTCCTCCTCCTCACCCCTCTCCCCCTCCCCCTCCCCCCTCCTCCTCCTCCTCCTCCTGCTCCTCCTCCTCCGCCTCCTCCTCCTCCTTTTCCGCCGCGACGCCAGCTAGCAGCACAGGCAGTGCGAGCGAAGGGGATGGGCGAATGGGGGAGCCTTGTCCATCATCTCCCGCAACGCGATCTTCAGCGCGTACTTCTCCTCGTCCGAGGCGTCGGCCATCTCCCGGTCCACGGTGCCTCCGTCGGAGAGCTCGGCAGAAGTTTTCCGAGGCAGCCCGTTCGCCAAGGAAGCGAGCAGGGGCATCACACTTGTTCGTTTTATCTCACTTGCTATGCTTCATCACAGTTGCTTGTTTTATCGCACGTGTTTTTGAACCACACTTGTTTTTCCATCGCGCTTGCTCGGAGCATCGTTGCCGTGCCAACACAACGCACGATTGCGCTGCATCCCATCGTCTCCCGTGGTCATCCGTGGTTCCCCCGCCGTGAAGCAGCAGCAGTAGTGTGTACTAGCCTCAGGCTTCTCGGGATTCGT